GTGTCAATTAAAAAGAAAAAAAGTCAAAGCCAAAATGCAAAACAAACATTTGTCCTTTCAGTTTCAATAGTTGTATTCTGTACTGTAGGTTATGTGTGGTTTCACGGCAGTGATTGGTTTAAGGGCTCTGCCTAATGAAAGGAAGTTCACCATTATTTTCACCAGCATTGTGTGAGCATTGAGATGTAATCATGTATTTTTTCCATTGTGTCCATTTTCCTTTTGGGAATGCAATCAACATTGAAGAGAGAGCAAAAAAATACGCTGTTTGGAATCTCATGTATAATGTTCTGAAGTGACTTAAACGTCCAGCTTCCTTTTAAAATGAAAGAATATATATTGTCAGCAGTATCCAAGTGAGAAAGAAGCCTCGACCCTGCTATTTGACTCCTGTGTTTGAATTGATCTGGGAATCAGAAGCAGGAGTGGGCCATTCGGCCCTTTGAGCTTGCTCCATGTAGACATTTGGGAAAAAGCCATTGGGTTATTCCAAACTCAGGAGGTGCCATTGGGTTCATGGGGATTCTGTATTTGCCCTTGCTTTCCCCTCACGTGTTGCCATTCACTTTCTGTCTGCTTCAGACGTTAAATTTACAGACTTAGGAGGAGGCCATTCAGCCTGTCTTGCCCGGGTATTGTTTTGTTCCACAAAAGCCTCCTCCTTTCCCAAACACATCAGGATACCCTCCGATTCCTTTCTCGCTCTTCTGTTTAATCGAACTCCATTTTCCTGGTATCTAATTGCATCCAGGAGTGTGAGGAACAACAGCAGGAATGCTTCACTCTGTTCATTGACCTGAGCCAAGTGAATTGCAAGGCTGAAAGGTTCAGATATTCAAGAAACCTCATCGCAAACCTGCAACAGCTTCACAATGTGTCAAGTGGAAGCTCGGAACCAGACCCCTTCCAAATCCAGCCAAACAAGGCTGTGTGATAGCCCCTGACAACACAGTGTGGAGCTCGAGGAACACAGCAGGCCAGGCAGCATCAGAGGAGCAGGAAAGTTGACGCTTCTGGTCCCGACCCAACATGTCAACGCTCTTGCTCCACTGATGCTGCCTGGCCTGCTGTGTTCCTCCAGCTCGACACTGTGACTCCAGCATCTGCAGTTCTTGCTAGCTCTGTGTGATAGCCCTTGAACCAGTTACAATCTATCTGACAGTGATTATTCACCTTAGCAAACACCAACAGCCTGCTGATGTTGGCACTGAATACCGTTCGCGAGAAAAGCTCTCTAACCTCAGTTGCCTCTGTGCCAAAGGTTATTGGCACACCATAGATAGACAGGATTGACAGTTAATGAATGGGTGGCTGTAGTTACATTGCCCACTCTGTAATGGCTTTGCAAACCATCTCGGTCTCTTCAATTCTGCGCAAAAAAAGACTTGGCCACTTCTCTAATGTTGCCAAAACAAAACTCTTACCTCAAACCACCACTGGTCAGCAAAATATTTTACCTCCCTTGTATCTTGAAAGAGAGACTCTAGAACATGAGGAAGACTTCCTCTACTTTGGCAACTTGTCATGCCTGGTCTGGCCTACGTTGACACTCCCGGAAGGTCAGCATTGACGAGGAGATCCAACTGCAGGTCAGCCGCACCAGTTCATAAAACTATGGCAGTGAGTGTTTGGTAACAAGAACAAAGGGACACAGGATTAAGGTGAGAGGGGGTATGTTGAAAGGAGATGTGAGAGGCAGGATTTTTACACAGAGAGGGTGATGGGTGCCTGGAATGTGCTGCCAGGAGAGGAGGTAGAAGCAGATATGATATCAATATTTAAGAGGTATTTAGGCAGACACAAGAACAGGCAGGGAATACAGGGATACGGACTATGTGCAGGCAGATGGGAATAGTTTGGAATGGCATCATGGTCATGATGCATGTAACTTTGCATCTCCCACAGCTAACCCACCTAGCCTGCACATTTTTGGATACCAAGGGCAATTAAGCATGGTCAATCCACCTAACCTGCACATTTTTGGATTGTGGGAGGAAACCCACGCAGACACGGGGAGAATGTGCAAACTGCACACAGACAGTCACCCGAGGGTGGAACTGAACCTGGGTCCCTGGCGCTGTGAGGCAGCAGTGCTGACCACTGAGCCACCATGCCGCTCCTAATCATTAAGAAGGCACTACTAATTGCTCCGAACGTGTCCATCCAGCTGCTTACTGATGAGGCAGAGGAGGAAAGAGCAGGAAGAGTATCCTACACTTGGAGTGGTGGGGGGGGAAGTGTCCTGCTCTGAGCTCTCAATAACCTGTGGGGCGGGATCATCATGACACCAGATTATAGTCCAACAAGTTTGTTTAAAATTACAAGCTTTTGGAGTCTCACTCCTTCTTCAGGTGTTATTGAGCGAGGTGGCATCAGACACAGAATTTATAAGTAAAAGATCAAAGGATCACAAGACCGATGAGGATGTATTAGACAAACCTAAGATGCAGTCAATCAATCAATGTGGCGTTTTATAAATTCTTACTTTAGAAATAAAACCAGTCTGACTCCAAACCAAAACAAAAACAGGTTCTCAACAAGGCCTCACGCCTAACATTTGGGGATTAAGGGTTACAGGGAGAATGCGGGAAAATGGGGTTGAGAAACTTATCAGCTATGATTGAACGGTGGAGCAGAATCAATGGGCTGAATGGCCTAATCTCTGCTCCTATGTTTCATGATCTTATGGTCGTTGTCCGACCTAAAATGTCATCTCTTCTTTACACTGATAAAACCTTTAGTTCTCTCAGGGCAGTGACTTGAAAGGAATCTGTGGATTTACATATACATAGTAATCAATTAAAACCTTCTAACTGACTAAAGATTTAACAGCATCTTAGGCTTGTTGAGTACATCCTCATCAATGGTGTGACCCTTTGATCTTTTACTTATAAATTCTGGGTCTGATTCCACCTCTCTCACCGTCACCTGAAGAAGGAGCAAGGCTCTGAAAGTTTGTATTTTCAAATAAGCCTGTTGGACTATAACCTGGTGTTTTGTGATTTCTGATCATTTCTCATGGCCCTAACTCAGAAATCCCTGCTGAGATAATTATAGCTAAAGAGAACAAATGCTAACAGGACAAAAGTAACACGACACCAGGTTATAGTCCAACAGGATTACACTTCACCTGATGAAGGAGCAGCGCTGTGAAAGCTTGTGATTTCAAATAAACCTGTTGGACTATAACCTGGTGTTGTGTGACTTCTGACTTAGTCCACCTCAATCCAACACCGGCACCTGCACATCAGTACACAAGTAGATTAATCTTATCATCTTGCACTAGTCAGAAATAGAAGATGAGTCCTACAGGACAGAACGTTTCAATTTTTTGTCTTCATTCATCAATGTTTAGATTCTGTACTACCAAAGGATTATTTATAATTATAACTAAAGCTTTCGAAATTCAACAAATCATTTAGAATAGTCTTTGGAAAATGTCAAAAAAGCCTCCATTGGAAATGTACAAGCCAATGGGAATTTATTTTTTTCTAACCTAAACCAGATGGCCTGTCTACCAAATCCATCTAGCAGATTACTTTGCTTCGTAACACTTAACATCAGCTTTAGCCTGTTTTTCCTTCATTGTAAAAGAGTGAAAAAAAAAGCTTCAGATCATGACATTTAAACTGATCTTATTTGTGCTTCAAGGACATAAACCTGTGATACAACACTGTGAGCTCAGGCCTGTGGACCGGTCAAACTAGGGTGCCTTTGAATTCTGCATTAATGTGAAATGGTCCTGTTTAGTTTGGATAAACCTCAAGTGAGGATCATGCCCTGTGCTCTTCATTTTGAAGGGAAAAATTGGACCTGTCCAAAGTAGGGGTGGAATGCACATCAGGGTCCCACCCACTACTTTTACAATATCTTCCTGACTCTGTGAAACTCAGGTTCCCAGTGTACCATGCCACTGTTACATCACTCTCTCTCAGATGAGATGTTAAAGTGAGGTGTCCCTTGCATTCTCAGGTAAATATGAAAGATTCTACACACCCTGTTTCGAAGAAGAGCAGACAGGTTGTGCCCTTTGTCTGAACTAATAATCATTTCTCAATCAACGTCACAACAAAAGGTCATCTGCTGTTAGCACTTAGAGTCACAGAGATGTACTGCATGGAAACAGACCCTTTGGTCCAACTTGTCCATGCCGACCAGATATCCTAAATCAATTTAGTTCCATTTGCCAGCATTTGGCCCAAATCCCCCTAAACCCTTCCTATTCATATACCCATCCAGATGCTTTTTAAATGTTGTAATTGTACCAGTCTCCACCACTTCCTCTGGCAGCTCATTTCATACACACACCACCCTCTGCGTGAGAAAGTTGCCCCTCAGGTCCCTTTTAAATCTTTCCCCTCTCACCTTAAACCTATGCCCTCTAGTTTTGGACTCCCCCACCCTTGGAAAAATACCTTGGCTATTCACCCTATCCATGCCCCTCATGATTTTATAAATCTCTATAAGGTCACCCCTCAGCCTCTGACGCTCCAGGGAAAATAGCCCCAGTCTATTCAGCCTCTCCAGTTAGTTCAAACCCTCCAACCCCGGCAACATCCTTGAAAATCTTTTCTGCAACTGGGAGCTGGACAGGGTAGAGAAGGAGAAGGTGTTCCTACTCATACAAGAGAAAGAACTACAGAGCATAGATTTCACACAGCAAGTAGTCTGGGTCTGGAATGCACTGTGGAAATGTGGTGGAGGCAGGTTCAATTGAGACACTCAAGAGGGTCACTGGATAATTATTTGGCTAGAAATACTGTGCAGGGATATATGGAAAAGGCAGGAGATTGGCACAAGGGGATAGAACCAGTGCAGACACGATGGGCCAAATGGCCTCCTTCAACAGGTTTGTGATTCTGAGCTCATTCCCCTTTGATACAAAGACTCTGGGGATCGCAAGTCACTTTCGAATGCCATTACGGCCGCCAAAGGCGCTATATAAATGCTGCCTTCGCCCTTCTTGTCAACACGCCCATCGTGACTCCCTTTTTACTTACCGCTTCCTGAAGCATTTGTAAGTGTACAGTGGCAGGCACCAGTTCTCACCTTGAGCTGTGCCCATCACAGACTGCCCCTTCTCTCTGTGTAAAAATCCGGCAAGAAGTCTTCGATATAAATTTAAAGTAAAAGCAACGAGAGTGTGGGGAAAGGGAGGGAGGATTCAGATGTTCCCTTCACTTCTCGGCAGATGGGAAGTCATTTGTGACAGAGCAGGGCTACGCGAGCCAAAGAAACCGTACCCGTTTCACACTCACCGCGCAGTCTAAAGCGCTGGAACCAGGAACTTAATGCATTTAGACACACAGAGAGAGAGAGAGAGAGATCAGCTGTTGGGGGGAGCAGGCTGTGTTGGAGGAACACACAGAGACAGAGGGAGAAAGAGAGAGCCCGAATTGTACAGCAGCCTTGCTGCAGGAACTCCGAACCCACACACAGCAGGACGTAGCTATCTTGGCTGCAAGTAGCAGGGTTGAGTTTTATTGACACACTCCCTGCTCTGACGGTCACTCCATTGTTGTCTCGTCCGAGACATTTATTTGATGTGTCATGCTTGGCTGAGGTGAGGCTCATTGCTGGACTCCACGATGGGAAATGGGATTTAATCTGCTCGGGGGTTTCCTGTTTTCACACATTAGACTGACGGCTTCATCAGACTGAGAGCCAGGCCCTCCAGTAAGCACACCCTCCCTGCTAGAAAGACCGGGGAATCCCCCACCTCAGGCGCCACACTGCCATCTGTAGCAGCACGGGAGGCCATTCAGCCCTTCCGAGCCGTGCCAGCAGCGTTGGGACTCGCCTTGTGCACTCTCACCGTGAAAGGGATTCAGATCTGGGGTCAGGCAGGGCTGCCCACTCTCTCCTGCCTTGTTTGTGTGTTGTAATAGAGCTTTTGTGCTGAGTCCGTCAATATTGTCTTATACCAGAACAAGGCCTGGACAGTGTGTTGCAGACTGGCACATTCCACATTTACGCGCTGAGGGATGCACTAAAAGGCGCAGTGGGTAAAGACCACTGTCTGAGGTCTTCCTGCTGTACTTCAATAGAGGTTCATTCAATTATTGGAACCTTCCAGTGCCTCAAATGAACACTTGAGTATAGTCTTATTCAAGCAAGAGATGCCTTTGGTTTGTTTGGATAGAGTTAAACTCCGAAGTTTGTTTAAAAACCAGAAGAACTGCAGATGCTGCGAATCAGGAACAAAAACACAAGTTGCTGGAAAAGCTCAGCAGGTCTGGCAGCATCTGTGAAGAAAAAATCAGAGTTAACATTTCTGGTCTGGTGACCCTTCCTCAGAAGTTCCAATGTTTTTTTGTTTTTTTGATATTGCTACTATGCAGAACAGAACTGCGTTTGTGATTATTTATAAAAATAACTTTATATGTAAAGTATATTTTTGAAATAAAAAAAGTCTTGTACAAGTAGGAAATACCTTGTGTTTGTTTGCTGGATATAGTCAAACTCCAATGTTTGTTTCTTCACACACTACTGTAAAGAACAGAGCTGTTCTAGTGACTAGGAATGAGTAAAAACTGCAGATGTTGGAGTCAGAGCTAACACAGCGTGGAGCTGGAGAGACATAGCAGGCCAGGCAGCATCAGAGGAGCAGGAAAGCTGACATTTCGGGTTTGAAGAAGGGTCCCGATGCTGCCTGGCCTGCTGTGTTCCTCCAGCTCCACACTGTGTTATCTCTGCTCTAGTGGACGATATATGTATATAACGATATTTTATGAATTAAGTATATTTTTGAAAATTAAAAAAACATCAGGAAGGATGCCAGCCTAGGGGGTGACGCTTCCAGGCAGCGGAGGCCTGCAGGTCAAAGCCTCCCTGTACATGGATGATGTTGCCGTTTTCTACTCAGATCTGTTGTCAGTTCACAGACCCATGAGCATCTGCAACCAGTTCGAACTGCCTCAGGATCCAAGGTAAATTGAGGCAAGAGTAAGCCATGTTCTTTGGGAACTGGGTCGACTGATCCTTTATCTCCTTTACCCGTCGGGAAAGATTTCTCGAAGGTGCTGGGAATATGGTTCGGAAGGGCTGGGGCGTGCGCAAAAAACTTGACAGGAGCATACAGCCAAGGTGAGGCCAAAACTGGTCCGCTCTCTCTCCATTGGGGGTAAAAACCTGGTCATCAGGTGTGAGGCACTCTCTGTTGTTGTATATGGCGCAGGTCTGGCCCATTTCCCGAACCTGTGCCATTGCAGTCACCCAAACCATCTTCCACTTCATATGGAGGTCTAAGATAGACCGTGTCCACAGGGTCTCCATGTACAAAGCTCTGTATGGGAAGGGGGGTGGGTGAACTTACCCAATGCCACCCTCATCCTGATGGCCACCTTTGTGCGTGGCTACATCAAGCTGCACGTATACCGTTGGTATGTAAACACCAAGTGTCACTGCGTTATGAGTTTGTACCTGTCTCCTGTGTTGCTAAGGCTGGGACTGGCCTCATTGTTGCTGGATGCTCCAAGTAGTTGGACTGTTCCCTATCACCTGCCCTTCAGGGAGAAATTTGCAAAGAAAAAAACCTTTGACCACTGGTCCATCAGGAAGTGGTCAGCACTTGGCGTCCTCGAGACCCTACAGGTAAAGGACAGAGCGGATCCTGTCGGGTTGTTCCGTGAGCAGGCTGCCAAAATCATTTGGCAGAATGCCTCATCATCAGAACTTTCCAACAAGCACCAAGATATCGCTTGGCTGGTGGTGAGAAGGGCACTACCTGTGAGATCCTTCATGCACATCTGTTCCATCTGCACCACTGCACCCCACCCTTGATGCAGCTGCAGGGGTGTTGGGACCTGCTCCCACATGTCGTAAGCTTTGTTACTTTAACATGGTAATCAATTACAGAAAGGTAAGTCCACAAGGCTGCAGTTTTCTTTTAACACTACAGCAGAAGTTGATTATACACAAAAAACCAAGCCAAACAAAATATAACAGTCTGAAAGATTCCATACACATGCAAAACAAAATCTCATCACTTTACATATATTCAAAATCTGAGACATTTTCTTTTCCTGTTCAATCTGTACGTTTGACTTAACTACTTCCTCTCAGTTCCTGAGATAACAAGGTGTAGAGCTGGATGAACACAGCAGGCCAAGCAGCATCATAGGAGCATGAAGGCTGACATTTC